ATTTCTTCCTTAGGGAAAATACCGCACAGCACTTTTTACAACAACGATAACAAAACAATTAAACATAACCACAAAAAACAGGCAGAGCGAATTTATGCCACATGTCTGTCAACACTGCCAACGTTTAGCCCAGTTTAATAAATAATAATAAATAAATAAATGCCTTTATTGTCAAATTTTTTTACAATTTGTAGACAAAGGTAAAGTAAACAAACAAAGTAAAGAAACAAACAAACAAAAGAGAATACGAAACAATTATACAAATTACATTGTCAGTCTTATTGTTTAAAATAAACATTTCTAAATGTTTACAATGCCAAAGAATAAAAAAATAAAAATAAGATTCAAAAATATTTATGTTTATAGTAAATATATTAATAGCAAACATTAGACCAGTGTTTACAAGATCAAATTCGATTATCAAAATATAAGTCATTTACGGCGCAGAAAGCCTTGTCTAGTAAATAAGATTTCAATGCTTTGCGAAATGAAGAAAATGATGTTATGGATTTGATCTCAAATGGCAGGTGATTGTGCATTTTTTTCGAGTTGTAATAATATTGAACTTTTAACTAACTCTGAGCGTGGAGTAGGTAGATAAAGATCTTGCTCCGCGTTCCTGAGTGGATAAGTGTGAGATGGCCTTTCTTGAGAAGCTGATTCATGCTTACGTATTAGGCAAACGGATTCAAATATAAATAAGGAAGGAAGACTTAATATTTTTAATTTTTTAAAAAAGTCCTGGCAGTGAGTTCTGCCGTTTAGTCCCAGTGAATATCGAAAAGTTCTCTTCTGAAGCTTGAAAATGCGGTCAAATTGAGTCGCACAACACGTACCCCAGAATGGAAGGGCATATCTGAGGTGCGACTCAAAACTGCATAATAAACAGTTCTAGCCACTGACAAATTAAGCTCCTTAGAAACAGATCTTATGCAAAACAGGCAGAACTTAATTTTTTCGACAAAGCGTCGATATGCATGTCCATTTTAGAGAATTGTCTACAACAAGCCCTAAGAATTTTACAGATTTTACGACGTCAATGGTGGTGTTTTAAGTACAAAAGGCTGCAACGAGTTTTTATACGACAAAGCTTTAGTTTTAGAAATGTTGAGACTCAGGAGGTTCGAATCGCACCAAGATTTAAAGGTGATTAAGTCATTTGATATAATCCTATGAAGTGCCGTTATCCTTATATTGCCTATTATTCAACTTATCCTTATTTATCCTTATATTTTACCTACATGTGACAACAGCGCTAACTGAATCTTTCAAACTCGCTGCTTTCGTCCGGGGAATGCTAGCATTCAAAGTTGGTTTCAAAAATAGCTGGCGTAGTCTTAGCAAATCAGTGAATGTGAGGTTTTACTAGTAATTATTAACAATTACTGATTTCCAACTTTTACTGTAACATCTCCATCATCAAAGAATAAATGTTTTTTTCGAGTATGTTTTATAAAAACTGTGTGCAAAGGAAGATCGCCTGGCTAGCTGAGCAGATAGCTTTGTCGAATGCAATTTAAGGACGGGCTCTCGACGACTACTGGCAGTTGGTTATTGGATTTGCTCGATTTTCACAGCCAGCGTCTGATGGCTTTCCGAGTTTTCGTCATCGTCGAAGGACGAAGTGGAAAAATAAAGAAAAAGTGGGAAAATCCAAGCGAGGCGCGCGGTTATTGAGTATATCGGAACGAATCATCTCGTTCTGCTGTATGTCTCGATGAGTTTGAACGAAAAATTTAACGTTTAAAAACAGCGCGCACTTATTACGCTGGATAAAGTCTGGGTTTTATGTTTTTTTTTTCATTTTTTCTACTTTTATTAGTCGGGACATTTATTTCGTTTGTACATTGTTAGCAGTTTAGTTTACCCCGCACATTTGACAGCATTTAACTTTTTAATTTTTTTTGGTCAGGCAATTCATTAAATAAACACAGTATACAGTATGTCCCCGGATTGTCTTTAGAAGGGGAAAACTTTTTTATTATTGATATTATGAGAAAAATGCATTCTTCCTAAAAATTTAAATACCGTTTATAATTTTCCAAGTTTCCATATCCCGATTAATACTTAAAGTTTACTACTACTACTATTGCCATTACTCGCTGCTGACGAGTATTTGACACGCATCAGAAGATGGTTAAGCAAGACGTTTTCTTTCATGAGCTTTTCTGTGACTGAAAAGCCCGATACGCGATGTTATCTCTCTTCCCCACTCCGGATATTCAAAAATCCCATTGCTTTGTTGCCTCTTTAGTTAACTGAGTTTACAATCCTTCTCCATTGCGTTCTATTGTCCGCTACTTTTCCCACTAATACTGCGTGCTTATTTCCTTTAAATTTTCGTGGAAAATATTCTTGTACCTTTTAAGTTGTCCACCCGGTTTCCTCTTACCGTCTAGAAGCTCACAGTAAAGAAAAGATTTTGGTAGGCGGTTTTCTTGCACCCTGCATACGTGACCAGCCCATGAACAATTTGGTTCCATATAACATGGTGAGAATTATTATTCTACAAGTCTACAAGCTCACCGTAAACAAGAGATCGAATTAAAGTTTACACATGATAACTGGCAGACCCAAAATTGTTGTGCAGCATATACTACGACACATTGCAACGTATGTTACCTCCACTATATTCATATCGTCGGCTGTATGACGAAAAGGCGTATCTCGATTTTGGCTACTTTTCAGGAGAGCAATTTAAAGAAAATCACTTACATTATTTGGCCAAAAAATGTAAAGTCTTTAATTTTTTAATAACATTGGGGAAACGTTCTGAAGATAAATTGAGCGTAAATTCTAATAAATAATTTATTTTTAGTTGTTTAATAGAGATAGGCCTTTTTGTTATAATAATACTAAATTTATTTCCGAACGAATAATATACATAAGCTCATGTAAAATAAATTTAAAAATGATGGTAAAGTGTTCTTAATAAGGAAAAAAAAAATACAATATTCACATTATGGAATACACACAAGAAAATACAATACAACAAGAAAAAATCTGAAAATCACCAAAAAATCAGAAACAAATATTTTTAAATACTTTTATTCGCGTTGGATTAGATCAACTGAAATCAAAGACAATTTTCATTCCAGAAGCAAAGACAATAATCAATTAAAATATAATACAATAATTTCTATCTAGCTAATTTTAATAATATTGTTTTTAATACAAAAATACATTTTTTTAAGTAATATATTTTTAGTAATTATTTAGTTAATTGAGGGCATTAATACAGGGCATTTGAACTTACGGTCCATTTAATAAAAACCAAATTAAACAAAAACAAAACATGTTTCTTCATTCGTGCCTTTATGATACAAATAACTGTGGTAACACTTTCTGTTTTCCCTGTTCAATGATAACAAATTCGACTTCCATTCTACCTGTTTATGCTGGATGATGATAGGTACAATAAATAAAATTTTCCAAACATTGGCAGGGATGACAATGCCAATGACCTGACAATGATAATGAGATGAAAATTATTGTATTTTTCGGGCAAGTTTTTGGTTCGCTAAAATGTTCTTAGGGAAATTATGATTTCGGGAAATTTTCCATTAGAGCAATTTTCGTCTCGTTGTTTTGCTTTCGATCAATTTTCCTTCGGGCATTTATTCTCAGACAATCTCTTGCATACCCGATGCAGCTATGCGCAGAGTCTAGCTTATTCTAACAATGGTTTTTGGCAAAAAAACAGACTCAAAATCACACTGTAAAAGAGAACTGCTGCCATGATAGAAGTTTTATTTTGTCCCAAGCAACCATCAGAAAATAATTAGGTAGAATGGTGTGATTTTCTCTCGCAATGCATTTTCATAACTTAAAACAAAAGGATCTATCTCAAATTCCATCTTTCTTGTATATTATAACAATAATTGGTATAACAATTGATATAACAAAGAGCCCTATCTCAACATACGTCTCAAAAAGCCGACGATATAATCTGAAGTTGCTAAGAGATTAATACACGAAAGAGCTGGATAAATGTAGAGAGAAAACAAATAGAAGTAGAAAAAAAACGCTTTCACTTTTTTTGCGCAATTTATTTCGTAATTATAAACTTATCGGAGCGACGACGGACACAATAACTTTTTAATAACTCAGAAAATTATTCGGATCCATTGCCGTAATCCGACTTGACAGTTTAGAAGAAGAAAATATCGTCGAAAGATAGAAAAAAGACTGAGGAAAAGCGCAAGAAAATAAAAGCAAGAGCGGCGTACAGTTATATAAAGTTTGTTCTCCTCTAACGTCGAGTTATGGCCAGCTGGAGTCCCGTAGGTCCCTCTGATAAATGGGGACTACACGGGAGGAAAAATGTTTTCGCTAAGGTGAGATAAAGTTGGGTGTGGAAACTTGCGGGAAATTTCGTATTGGACAAAGGGGAAAAATGTGGTTTTATGGAGGTTTTGTCTCGGACATTCAATCCCAGTTTTATTCTATGTGCTTTCCTGAAATCCTAAAAGATTTTTTTTCATACTTATTAAATAAAATGTCTGATATTATTTTTATTTTCAAACATTAAAGACGGAAAGGATGTAATATTGCCTTTAAACCCCTTTTTTGTCAGTTTTATTGATTTTTTTTTAGTTTATGTTTTAAAAAAAAACAAAAACTAACGTAGAAATAACTTTGAAAGTAGTGTAATGTGGGGCTTATCAATCAAACTTACTTCTCTGACTGCAGTCAAGGGTAATAAAAGACCTTTATTGTCACATTCTCGTTCAAAATACTTTATCAGGGAAGCTACAAGCTTTGCTTCGATTGTTTAAATGCTTCGGCATATTTTCAACACACAATTTCGAGAAATGTAATACAAAAACTCGAAAATTTAGTTCTTAAAAGAACTGTTGTGCTTAAAAGTACAATTTTTAAAAAAAGACTACGAAAAAAAACGAGAATTACTCATAAATATTCCGTTGGATTAACGCCTGATTTCTTGAGTCGGTGGACAGACATTTTGCTGCCTTTTGAAAAAATAAATAAACATGCCATTCACGATGTTATGGTTTTATTTCTGTTATAATATTTACTTTTTCTAAATGTATGACCTTTATGCAACCTTTTATTCATTTCTCCATCTTCTTTTTGTTACTTCAATCCACTTCGTCAATGACCGGTCCATCGTCAGGCGACTGACTAGGAAAATCCCTCCCTGGAGGTTGCTGACCGCCCGTCGCAGAATACAGCCTCATCATCACCGGTCTACACACCTTCTCAACCTCCTCTTTCTTCTCAGCATATTCCCTCTCCGAAGCCTTGTCAGTATCCTTCAACCAATTCTCAGCCTTCTCACACGCTTTGATTATTTCGGTCCTTTCAGCAGATGTGATTCTGGATCCAATGGTCGGGTCCTTGACGATGCCCTTCATTTGATAGACATAGGACTCCAAATCGTTTTTTGCTGCAGCTGCAGCTTTCATTTCTTGGTCGGATTCTTTGAATTGTTCCGCTTCTTTGATCATTTTTTCAATTTGGCGCTTGTCTAGTCGGCCTTTGTCGTTGGTGATTCTGATGTCGTTCTGTTTTCCTGTCATTAGTTCTTTGGCTTGGACAGTTAGGATGCCATTGGCGTCGAGATCGAATGATACCTAGGTAATAATAAGAATTAATATTGATAAAAAGCATATACAGGGTTGTTTACTACACACGATACGGAGTATTGTAGCTAAACGATTAGATTTTTACAAATTGTAAGTTTTGGGTTTGTTGAAGGACTATTAGAGCTACAATTTAAAAATAATTTTACAAGATACAAAGTGTCCCAAATAAGTAAAAAATTTTATAGTTTTATTTTTTAAATGGAACACCCTGTATATTATTCTATTTTTAGATTCTACGATTGAAATAAAGGTATATTTGATTAAGTTTTATCACACTTAAACTTTCCGTTTTTGAAATATTTTCAATTTTGTGAAACTGGAGTAAAAAAATTAAGGCTTCATTTCTCCCAGGGTATCAAAGTTTTTAATACTAAATATTAACTGAAGATTATTTATTGGTCAGATATTGTGTTGCAATAAAAAAAATTATACTTCCTTATAGAGAGTGTCCAAATTTTTTTATTAAATAATTACTATCTTTAAACGGCAAAATGAAATGATTTTTGACTTTTCTTTATAATACTACTCGCAGTTTTGCTAAACGAAACGCAGATTTAATTTCAAATTTTTCAAAGAAAACTAGACGAAGAAATATAATTGAAAATGACAAATGTCGGGTTTGAAAAGAAAAATCTCTTAATCCACACATTGAAATTTCAAGAAGCTTAATGCAAAAAAAATGGATACTATTACATGTTCTTTTAATTTTATTTGAAGATCGAGAAGGTTAGATTTCATCCTTTTTTCCCCAAAAAAATTGGTAGGCATTACAAATTCGCTAATTTTAATACGAACAAAGCCGGTACAGAATTTATATTCGACTTTCCCTTTCATGTCGGATATCCTACGCGATCCCTTGCCTTTCATTTCTTACTCTAATTTAATTTATTCTCATAATTAATTAGAGCTATATTCGGGGCCATTGTGAGGCCCTTTTGCCGTTCGAGGTATTAATTTCGCTTCCACAACTTCGGCAAAAGAAGAAGAAAAAATGTGGAGATAAAGAGGAAAGGGAATAAAATGACAGAGAGATCTGTCTAAATGGGATTTATTTATAAATTATTGCGACGATCTCTTTTATTAAGTTTTATTAGATGGTGAAAAACAAATTTAATTATTCCAGTCTGATAATATTTTATTTGGCTTATTGCTTTTAGTTGTTTTGGTCTTTGAAAGGCAACGATTGTCTAGAAATATTGAGACAAGACAAAAAAATTGTGCCTTTTTTGTTACTAAATTTATTTAAAGTTGTTATTATTTGTTGGATCTGGCTCAAAAATAATAGTTATTTTTTATACAAGACCGAAAAATTCGACCGAAAAGATTAATTAATGATGAATTAATTTCGGGAGACGATAATGCAATTTTATCGTCGTCTATAAAACAATATTTTTTTTCTGTAGCGAGTTACATTTTAAAAAATATTCAGAAATTATTATTTCAAGGAATTTATTACAAGTAGAAAAATATTGTGCTGGGTTGGCGTTGGTTTCTATGTAATTTGACAAATAAATACAGCTGTCTCTTTAGTTGTCAGTTTTGAGTCAATATTTTTTAATTCTCTTTCGTGTCGATTGCTGCAATTTTAACAGTTGCTATGGAAAAAAAATATATAATATCTTCCTCAGAATTAAACTTATAGTTCATATCAAATAAACTTTTAATCACGTGATTAGCTTGACCGGCACAGCGTTACCCATTTTTACATATTTTCTTTTAATCAAAATATATTAGGAAACAAAAATAAATTAATTATAGAATATATAAACACTTATTATTTACATCAACAAAACTTCCCAACATTTAAGGGACATAAAGGGCCATTAGTACCGCTTTACCGTTCAAAATATTCTAATAAAGTTGCAATATGTTTTTACGGCTATTAAGCTATCTTTTACAATTCGCACTAAAAGAGGTTCTAAAAAGAACAATGTTCGACTGCAAGATCTGCTAGTAAAAATGTTTAAGCTTGGAGGAAGCTAAAATATTGAATTTCGCTCACCTCTATTTGTGGAATACCTCTTGGTGCTGGAGGTATCCCAGATAAATCAAATTTCCCCAGTAAGTTGTTGTCCCTAGTCATGCCTCGTTCCCCTTCAAACACTTGAATAAGCACACCTGGCTGGTTGTCACTATAGGTCGAGAAAATTTGAGTGTGCTTGGCTGGTATCGTACTGTTTCTCTTTATTATCACCGTCATTACACCTCCGGCAGTCTCAATGCCCAGTGACAGAGGTGTGACGTCTGAAAATGTAGAAACAATACTAAATTTTGGTCCAGATTTTTCCATTATTATAACAGGAATTAAAAAGAAAATTAAAAAAGGGTAAAACAATATGACAAAGTTTATTTCGAGTTTTTCAAATAAGTTTCACTCTTTGAATAAAAAGACTAAGGAAGGAGCATATCAAACATCTTAGGTCCACCCCGATGGGACTCAAATATGGCCGACTTAAATTCCGGTTTATCAGTGCCGTTCTAATTTTATTTAAAAAATGTAAAACTATGATGTAGGGTAGACGTGGGCTAGACTCAATAATTTTTTTTTATTTTACGTTGTAAATAATGTTGGTAGTTCTTAAAATTGTTATAAAAACATATTAATATAACAAAAATAGATGTTTTAATAATTATTTATTAACACAAACATCCGATACGCTACTGAAGCAGGTAAGTCAAATTGACGTATTTAAATTCTTTGACATCTAATCTTTAACAAGTAGTAAATAAAAGCAAAAATGCAAGAAAAAATATATAATTAGTTAATTTAAGTGAATTTCATAAATGATCGGTTTACTACACGTATGTATATTATATAGTCACTTACTAGCGAAAAGTTGTTCCATTATTTCACTCGATTTTTGCCGAGATCTACCGCACGCTACACAACCAACTATTTTAGAGTCTTTTTCGATAAATCGCGATAGTGTCACTGTTAATTTAAGTTCTGCCACAATTTCCATCCATATTTACTACCTCTATACAACTATTAATAGTAGAATAAATAATAAATAACATAAAATAAGCTTCGTAAAGACTGACAAATCCACAAAATTTCAAATCAAATTCAAATGTGTCAAATGAATCGTCAAACAGAACTGTCAAGGATCCACACCCTAGAGTCCTTTTTCCGCCCACCATGCATGAATACATGGATAGCACTATGCTACTTCCTTAGTCTTCTTATTCAAAGGTTTCACTAAAAGCAGGCTTCAATCTCTATACTTATAATATTCGATTCTAAATTAGCACAATCTCAGAAAAAAGTGGGATTGACTTGAAGATTTAAGAGCGCTTTAAAAGCTTGTTTGTTACACTCAAAATTAATAATTGGTAAGTAGTCAATAATCACCTAAAAGTAAAAGGTCTTTAACAGTTTCGTGTGTATCTCCATCCAAAATGGCGGCCTGGACAGCCGCACCATATGCTACAGCCTCGTCTGGATTAATAGACTTGTTTAATTCTTTACCCTTGAAGACTCCTTGCAACAGAGACTGAATTTTCGGAATTCTCGTTGAACCTTGAAGGAAACACAGTAAAAAAAATTTGAATCTATCTCAAATAAGTTTAAATCTTTACCTCCGACTAGTACAACATCATCTATTTGTTCTTTCTTCAATTTAGCATCTTTCAGAGCTTTCTCGACAGGCCCTAATGTACTGAGGAGAATATCAGAGTTCAGTTCTTCAAATTTTGCTCTGCTTATGTTAGTGTAAAAATCATTATTGTCATGTAACGAGTCGATTTCTATAGAAGCTTGTGTCGAAGTTGATAAGGTTCTTTTAGCCCTTTCACAAGCTGTTTGAAGTCGCCTCAATGCCCTTTTGTTACCAGTTAGATCAGATTTATACTTCTTTTTGAACTCGTCTTTGAAGTATTGTACCATTCGGTTATCTATGTCCTCTCCTCCTAAAAAAAATATTTTCTCTGAATTTATAAAGATGAAATACACATGTCCAAAGTTAAGGATATATTGGGTAAAAAAATTATGTCTCAATACAGTTTGATAGAGAGTAAAATAATTTTCAATTTCCTTAAATTTTGGACTAGCGTTTATATTAATTATTATTGAACCTAAGTGAGTATCTCCCGACGTGGATTGTACTTCAAATATTCCCTCAGCTATAGCCAGGACAGAGACATCGAATGTACCCCCTCCAAAATCAAAAATTAGTACGTTTCGATCTTTTTGACCCTTTTTATCTAATCCATAAGCTATGGCGGCTGCTGTGGGTTCATTTATGATTCTTTGGACGTCTAGGCCGGCTATTGTACCGGCATCTTTGGTGGCTTGGCGTTGGGAGTCGTTGAAATATGCTGGTACTGTGACAACTGCTTTGGATACATATCCACCTAAAAAAGTTTTGATGTTTTTGTGACATTGTAATTTTTCAAGTATTGTATTGTAGGTATTCTGATACAAAATGGGATATAAACGAACATGAATCTAAACAATACAGAAATTTCAAGTAATAATATACTATCACATCCAAAAATAATAATTTTATTATATCAGTTAAATTGAATTGTACCTGTATAAGATTCGGCTGTTTCCTTCATTTTTGACAGTACCATAGCTGATATCTCTTCAGGAAAAAACGTCATAGTTTCATTTTTGTATTTTACTTTAATTTTCGGTTTTCCTTGGAACAGAAAGTCATATCATTCGAAGATTTCATTATATTTTATTTGGTTCAATTAACATTATGATGATTGAGGTACCTTTATCATTAATAACTTCAAAAGGCCAGTTTTTCATGTCTGTTTGTACCATTGGGTCATCGAATTTTCTTCCAATGAGTCTCTTGATTCCATACACTGTATTGGATGGGTTCATAGCTCCTTGAGATCTAGCAGCGTCTCCAATAAGTCGTTCAGTGTCTACAGAGGAATCATTATCTTATTCTATCATAGATTTAAAAATATAACATTTTTAAGTCTATGTATCCAAAATTTGTTACATCTTGAAAAATAATCTAAAATGTCAATATTCCATAGGTATATTGATAAATGAGGTCTAAAATATAAGAAAATGCATTTTCTACGAAAACTTGAAGAGCTATATAGCTAAATTAGAAGAGCTAGGCTGATTTTCGTAAAATATACAGGGTGTCCCACTTAAATTAAACAAGTTATTGCCGTTTTTTTTAATATAAATTTTTAGACACTCTGTATATGGTAGTATTATTTTTATTATTTCATCACAAAATCTAGTAAATAAAAAAACTCCAGTACAATAGTTGGCTTGAAAAACTTAAATGCTTCCAGAGAAATAAAGCATTAAATTTGTTACTACATTTTCACAAAATCGTAAATATCTCAAAAAAGGTAAGATTAAAGTGCGGTAAACCTTAATCAAATTTACCTTTATTTTAATCGTAGAAACTAAAAATATAATAATATACAGGGTGTTCCGTTTAAAAAATACATCTTTGATATTTTTTCTTTATTTGGGACACTCTGTAGCTTTTGAAAATAGTTTTAAATTGTAGGTTTAGTAGTTCTCCAACGATCCCAGCACTCACAATTTCTAAAAATCCAACCATTTGGCTACAATACTCCGTGTCGAGTCAGGTGAATAAACCTGTATAATATTTCACAGAGTTTGTAATATTTTTTTTACTAACGAACTAGAAATTATTAGAACCAAAATACTAACATTTATATGACACAATTTTCTATGAATCTTAATTATTGTTGGGTGCAAATTATTGGTTAATATGATTTGTATATACTTATAGAGTAGGTACCTGTAAAAGCCACGTAACTAGGGGTCGTACGATTGCCCTCATTGTTTGCAATGATGTCCACAGTACCGTTTTTGAAAATTCCAACCACAGAATATGTGGTGCCCAAGTCTATTCCAACTGATGGTGATGAAGGTGCGTATGATGCCATGTTTGAACACTAATGCTTATGATGATTTTTTTTCTTAGGTGAAACTGGAGATTTTGGTGAACATAATGAGAAGAATGATTAATGATTCAAATGTGAATTTGACATGATGTACGTCAATTTCAAAATTTATTTTGATTGAATTTTGTGTCACAATGAAGTATTGTTCAGTTTAAACCATCTAAACAATATACCGTGTGTTGCATAGGCGACCTGGACAGAGGAAATTTGATGTAAATTTTAAAAATGTTGAATAAGTTTTTATATCTCTTCGGGGATGGGCCCGGAGTGGAAATAAACTCCGGTTTAAATTCCGGATTTGTTAGAAACGGCTCTCGAAACTTATTTTATCGTTTTAGATTAAAATCGGACCATGTTTCATTTTTATCCTTTTCCGAAAAGCCAAAGGGCATATATTAATTTTAATTCGACGTGGGGAAAAAGCAATAAAAGGTCAAGGTCGATGTGGAGAACAAGGGATTAATATTTATGCCCTTTCTGCGTGAAATAGGAGGGTTACAATGTTGCCAGTTTGGAAATTTTGTCATTAAATTTGGGGAAAATATTACAGTAGTTTTAATTTTTGTATAAAAAGATTAGAAAATATAAGCTATCCATGTTTTCATGATCCATTTTTGACAGGTCTAGATGATGTTTTAATTAAAATAGGTCTCTTAAATCATCGTGGGTACCATGCTGTAATTTTTGTGGTCCATCTGCTGTCCGTTCTTCTTAGTGATGGGAATACCGATTCCACGTGAGTCGCGTTACAATAGCGACCATTCCAGAAAAATATCGCGACAAAATACCGCGATTTTGTAACCGAGGTTCCGACTTCTAAAAATATATCTAACTTATTTATTTTTGTAGATTAATGTAACTTTTATCCACCACTTATTTTCCAAATATCGAGTTTATAATTGTGTATAGACAATCAAATAGATATAAACAATAAAACTATATATAAAATATAAATTTTATTTTATTTTATTTGCTTTTGCGTTTCATCTTTCAAACAACACTATTTTATACCATGCCTAGTACATACCAAAAATCGCTATTTCGAAAGTAACTTAGCGACGAGAGCACCAACGCCAATAGCAACCGACCAAATCGCGACAGGCAAAACCGAAACCCTAGAGGCGCTCCAGCGACTGCTAGAACGAAGTACGTGGCCGCCGAGGTTGAGCGTTGATAATCAGTTACAGCAGTTACTTCTGTTCGCGACAGGAAACTAAAACTCTAGGAGCGCGACGGCTGGAGCGAAGTAGGTCGCCGCTGAGGTCGAGCGTCGATGCCCAGTTACAGCAGTTACTTCTGTTCGCGACAGGGAACTACAACTCTAGGAGCGCAACGGCTAGAGCGAATACGTCCCGACGAAATCGCGACGGCTGGAGCTAAACACGTCGCTATGCGGTTACTACGGTTCGAGCTAACTTCAAAGTGTAGTGTTTATTTCATTTCCTGTTACTGTAATTAGTAAACCTACAAAATATAATTATTACAGGTATAATAGTTGTCACATTGTTACGTTCTGAAGCGTTTCCTGACTCACCTGTAAAACTATTAAAATAGCGCTTATGTTTCGCCCCTGGATCCTTCAATTACTGTAAATATGTTTTTGTAAAAAAAGAAAAATCTGTATTGGAAATACAGATACAGCCATACTCATCGTTAAAAATTTAAAAAAAGTTGATCTCTTTTCAATAAAAAATACTTTACAACCAGCTTATATTAAAGAAACTTTGCCTCAAATTGACTTTACATTCTGGCGGAACTAATAAAAAAGAATAACTTTCCCGATAGCAATATTTTCATATACAGGCAAAATATTTAAGGAGCTTAGAAGGAGGGTCTTTGCGAAGAACTTTAGAAGTTCTTTATTATATAAAATGCTTCCTAAATATGAGGCAGAACATGGCTGCAAGATTTTGTTTATTATTTTAGGATTTTGGAGGTCTTTGAAGAAGATTCAAGTGTATAAAAAAATACTATATTATTCATATTTTTTGAGTTTATTTTTATTTTTTTTTAAATTTACCAACGCAATACGAATACATTATAAAAATTATACAGATCATACTGTGAATAGTTCTGACTGACAACGAAACCCATTAGCTAGCAACGGGGACGTCAATGTTAGTCGGGAACTATTCTGAACTAAAGACCTAGTTCAAGGAACTATTCCTCTGAAGGAACTAGAACTTAGGAACTAGATCCTCCCAAGGAACTGGAATTCCCAACTATAAGCTTTAGTTTTATAGAATTACTAGCGTGTACCCGCGACTTCGTTCGCGTGTTAAGCAGAATCGTGGTTAATCAATTACCGAACTTTCTGGAACACCCTGTATGATTTTTTTAAAAAATTCAAAACATGTAAAAAGCCAAAATAAATTATGCGTGTCCAATCGTTTTCCCGAAAGACTAACCGTTTTATAAATAACAAATATTGTAATATTTGAGGGGCGTTTCACCCTCTTGGAATTTGAAATTCGAGAAACCCCTCCTTATCGAAACTCTACACCCCACAGTCAATCCGTTTACCAAAAATCAGCTTTAAACGACAAGCAGCTTTGATTACTCATTGGTCATATTTTATGAAACACCCTGTATAAATTTTTAAAAAATCTTAAAATATGTAAAACAACAAAATAAAATATACGTGTTTAAGAGTTTTTCCGAAAAACTCACCGGTAAAATATTCTAATATTTGAGGGGTGGTTTCACCCCCTTAGAATTCGAGTTTCGAAAAATCCCTTCTTATCGAACCTCTACACCCTAAAGACAATCCGTTCTCCAAAAATCAGCTTTTATGTCAAGCGCTTTAAGCAGGATCGTGCTTAATCAATGACCAGATTTTTCGAAACACCCTGTATACATTTTTAAAAATCTTGGAAAAAAATGTAAATATGTAAAAAACAAAATAAAATATACGTGTTTAAGCGTTTTTTCGGAAACTTGACCGTTTTTTAAATAAAAATTATTGTAATATTTGAGGGGTGGTTTCACACCCTTGGAACTGGAATTTCAAAAAATCCCTTCTTATCGAACCTGTACACCCTAGAAACAACCTATATGCCAAAATTGAGCTTCTTACGTTGAGTGGTTTGAGCAGGATCGTGATTAATCAGTATGTCAGCCACTTAAGGATTTTATATATTAGTATAGCAGTTACGAATTACATAATTTAGAGTCTTCTAAGCCGCCCTTGGGCCTTCAAGGCTCGACCAAACACCGTACAAATGGAATTCCTTGCCGGCTAGACGCCGACCTTGACCGCAACGGCGGGCGTCTCGACGGACGCAAAAACGACGCTCGGCGTCTACCGGGATGCGAGGCAGACGGCGGCGGAGGCGTCGGCGTCTTTTCCGCAGGCGTCTGCTCCGGCTACTGCATAATTTAATGGCCAGGTGTCGTCAATATTTGATGGGGAAGCCTCTGTGTCTCGCCAGGTGCGCCACAGAGGGCGTTGGAGGCTGTTTTTTGCTATACCAAACAGAATTGTCTTAAAAGTCTATTACGCTGTACTTTGAGGTCGCTTTCAGGGGTCGGGTAAGGCCGGTGTGTGGCCGAAGGAAATATATATTATATTCTTGAAATCTGCCCAAGGCTTAGCCCGATCCTGTCGTTTTAGGCCACACCCAAAATTCCAAACACACGTGCTTTGATTAAGGCTTGATTAAGATTTGCAGAGCTTCAGCATTTGCCGTAACAGAGCGAGCAATTTGTTGCAAAACCATTATAAATGATATATCACTGTAATCAGAAAACTTCAATATATTTCGGTATTGTAACGGAATTTTAAACTATGGCTTTATTTTTTAGACCAAACATAAGAAATGTTTTGTTGATGTTTGATCATCAAAATCTTAAAAATAAAGAAGTTGTCTAAAAATGTGCTACAATACGGATATAGTATAGTCCTTTATCTTTAATTTCCTTCTTCATTTGTGTAAAAATACCTAGTCAGTTTTAGATAAAACGTCAAATGCCGAACTATTATTTTGCTATTTTTTGGAATTGTGAAATGGACTCTTAAAAGATATCTTAAAAAAAAACGGTATCTTAAAAAAACACCCTGTATACGTAGACACACATCAGCCGTGTCATTATCAACAGCAAGTCATCATCATCATAATCATACTGATTCCTTTTACGTACGGTATTTCAAAAAACTCTTCGTGTATACACAAAAGTACACATTTTTCTCTTTTTTTTCTGCGGTACCATCGTTTCTGTGGTACCGTCTCCTGATGGTACCTGAATGGGAGGCAGGCAATCAAGCACCAATTCGTAACTCGACCGCACCGAATTAAGACGAATGACGACGCCCGGTACGGCGTCAATTACCGTTGAACTTCGCGTGAGATGATGGTGAAAAAAGTACCAGCGAGGTAGGTAGGTACTGGGTACTGCCCAAAGAAAGACAAAATATTAATATCGCCTTGACATGAAAATTAAGCCGTATTAAAACTGTATCAAGTTGTTTATGTAAAAGATTTTTACTAAAAACTATCTAGTATAAAAAAATAGATAAAGAAAGAACCCAAGAATCTTACTCTTTAGTAACTCTAATGGTAAACTTGTGATGGACAAAAGTCTTTTATATTTCAAGAGGTCCAAGTTCAGCACAGTTTTCTCGATATAATTCGGTTTTAATATATTATTTTGATGATAATGTTATTTAATAGCGAATTTATAACCTCCAATCGAAGAATCATACTTCTTCAGCTAATGGTAAACTGCTGATGGACACATGCCATCCAGTTCAGAAGGACTCAGTAGAGGAAAGCTTGCTCGTTATAATTCGGTTTTAATATATTCTTTTGGTGATAATAATGTTATTTAATAATGAATTTATACCCTCCAGCACAAGAATCATACTTCTTCAGCTAATGGTAAACTGCTGATGGACACACGCCATCCAGTTCAAAAGAATTCAGTCCAGCAAAGTTTTCCGGTTATAATTCGGTTTTAATATATTCTTTTGAAGATAATGTTATTTATTAATGAATTTATACGCCACTACCGAAGAATCATACTTCTTCAGCTAATGGTAAACTGCTGATGGACACACGTCATCCAGTTTAAAAGGACCAAGTCCAGCAAAGTTTTCTCGTTATAATTCGGTTTTAATATATTCTTTTGAAGATAGTAATGTTATTTAATAATG